TAATTCCCCTTAGGGATATTTGATAGAACTTTGATGAGTGGATGCCAGACCTCAGTCAGAGGAGCAAAAAGGGAAGAATAGCAGTGGCAGTTTGGGAGAAAATAAAGCAAAGTTGCTGCTCTGCCTGGTAATTGTTCTGCCAGACATAATGATAAAAGTCAATGTGTTACTACCATACAGAGCAAAGCAACACAATATAGAACAGGGAAAAGATCATCGGAATAGAGAGCTTACATGTGTTGTACACGTTTACAGAAGTAACCGCAAAAGGAAGGGATAGAGTACATTATCTGAGAAAGGATGTCGGGATAGTTGGTTATCCAAATGGATAAAGACAAAATCATAAGACAATTCCAGGATAAAGAAGAATTTAACAAGGAGTATATGGGGGTATTTTCCTAATCTCAGGAAAGAATCTCTTTGACAAGGTGCAAAAGACAAAATATTGAGGAAATATGGGTTTTAGGTTATGTTGAATTTAGTGTTATACATCGAGGCACCACTAACTAAATGAAAAGGTAAACCAGAAGTTAGAGTAACATTTTTAAAATAAATTTAAATAAAATGAATTTGATGTCCAAATATATAAATCACTTCTGAATAACTCGGAATAGAAAGACAAAGTTCATGACAGATGAAGAGCAGAGTGGTCCATGCGATTCACTCTGAGATGTCAACAGGCAATCACAATACGAAACTCACTAGTTAAAACAAGATCTCACTACCCACTCATTAACATCCAAGCACGTTTCTGTCAAGAAAGAAGGGGGAAACGTACAGTGGTTCATTTTTAGCACAACCCCTTTTAGACTGGTGTAAAAACACCTCAGAAATTTGAAATATGCTTTCTCTATAAGTACCTAGGAATTCAAATACTAGTTGTCACAATGTTATATACGTAGAAGCATGTGTTACAATTTAGTAACATGAAAGTATAAAGACAGGATTACAAGTAACCTCTTTATATAATTGAATTCTATGAAGCAGGTGTTTCCACAAATACTGTCTATACAGATCGATATTGGTCAAAGCCAAAGACATGACAGTCAGTGATGAATAGCAAATGCGTAATGTCAAACTATTTCACTTGAAAGACCACAAAACAATAACATCTACAGAGACTAGATGAACATACACACACATACAGGACACACACACACACACACATTTGTGGAGCATAAACACAAAATCATTCATGGGAATGGCATACATAAACCTCCTAGTCTGGAAGAGTTAAGAGTGTATGTAACATGGTTTTTGTATCCATTATTTTTCTCTAACACAGGAACTCTGACACACATGCCAAACTTTATTGACATTTACTTAATCTGAGGAATAAATTGGTGCTTGTTTCATTACTTCTGGTTTCTGTGAAATCCTTCATAGAACAGCTGACGTTTTTAAGCTTAAAAATGAATTCAGGAGAGAAAGCGCCTTCCCTAACCACAGCTGGTGTTTTAGCTTGTGCTATCTTCCTCTGACAGCTCTGCTCTGTCTCAAATTTAAGGCAATAATAACTTCATTGGTGACTTTTACCTTATCCAGAGAGCAAAGACAGGTGCTCCACACCTCTATTTCTGGGTCTATCGCCTGGGGTAACAGCAGAGGGCCTATCAGTCTTAAAAGGGTGAGGTGAGGAGTCAGCTACCACAAGGTTCAGTGAACCGTGGGCCGCAGCCTGGCAGCTGAGCCAAGCAGTAGAGGCCTTCGCCCTGGGTGCTCCGGACAAGCTGCGTGGGCAGGCAGCTTCACCTTGGCTAACTCAGCATGCAGGGCCAACACTGCTGTTAGCTTCCTGTTTTGAGAACTCCGAAGCACAAGTGGAGTAGCTGACATAGCACAAAGATTATAAACTTGATGGCCCAAAGGTTGGATGCAGCTCTAATTTATAGGTTGTTTGACTCACTTGTTTTCCTTTGGAGTAAAATTAAATGTAGTTGCTTTATTTATTAAAGTATAAATTTATTACTATGAGATGTTTCTTTTTTTATTTTTAGCTTTTTGTTGATTGTTTTCTGACAGGGTCTCCCAGGTCACAGCCCACCTTGAAGTCGTGATCGGAGCCAGGGTGGCCTCGATCTCACAGAGGTCCACCTCCCTCTGCCTCCTGAGGGCTGGAATTAAAGGTGTGTGCCATCACCCCTGGCATTAGGAGACATTTCTTATCAGAACTAGACCCCTAGCTCCTCTCCTGGACGGATGCTAGCATAATTGCACAATGGGGCCTGAATTCTAGAATGCTGATGTTCCTGAAGATTGTCCCTCCCCCGCTTCCGGTTCCTCACTCACCCCGCTAGGGACAGGGATTTCAACGTTCCCACTATACAGATGAGAAGACAGAACAAAAGCCGCTACCTCCCTTGCTCGAGGTCACAGTGTGTGGACAGCCATGTTGGCACATGTCACCCAGTTACCAGTTAACTTGAAACTCTGTTTCTCTACAATGAGAAGACCCATTTCATAATTTTATGGGAAATTTTTCTGTTTCCTTCAGCAGTTGCAATGGAAATAACAACTTTTAAGTTTTCCACAAAGACTTCAAGCAATATTAGAAATAAAACAGATGGACTCTCTGTAGTTGTAAATTAATTTAAAATTGTAAAACTAATCAAAGCAAAAGGCACTGGGTAGTTGGCCAAACTCAAAGCATGTAAAATGTAAGGGGATATGGCCAGGTAACTGAAAAGGGTGTGGCTGGAGGTTGGGCTGTCACAGGCATCACTTTTCTAGGTGGATTCATGCATGACGCTCATGCCCAAAGTCATTGCTTTTCTCTGAGCCTAGAAAGTTGTGCAAACCTTGTTCTGGAATGTTCTCAGCCATTCCCACCACATGCACTTCCTTTAGACTTTTTTATTGGTTTCTGTTAAGCTGGCAGATAATCCACATCAGTTTGCACCGGCTGCAACAACCATGCCCGTCGTTGAAAGACATGCAACAAGCCGGGGTGGTGGCGCACACCTTTAGTTCCAGCACTCGGGAGACAGAGGCAGGCGGATGTCTGTGAGTTCAAGGCTAGCCTGGTCTACATAGTGAGTTCCAGGACAGCTGGGGCTACAGGGAGACCCTATCTCAAAAAAAAAAAACGCAACAAAGTGAAAGGAAAAAAAGAGGTAGATCTTAAATACTGGCACAGACAGCTCTGTGAGTTACAGAAGGACATTTAATATGGAATTAATCATATTTAAAAACAAAACCACACATTGCTGTGGGTCCACAGGTATGCATGTAAATATGCATGTAACCCCACAGAAATTGGAAAGAAGCATGGAAGGGCCAGACTGGATACTTCTGGAAAACAGGGCAATTAAGGGATGGGGTCCAGGAAGTGTTAGCTGTGTCTGTGGTGTCTTGCTGTCTAATGCAGAATAGATTAGATGTGGCCATAGGTCCACTCTTTGTATATAACACATAAGAAATTCTGTGGCCATTCATCTCTAACCATAATGTCAATCATGACATTTGTAAGACATCTGCTCATCTTCTGAAATGAAATTTACTATACCACCATGCCATCCAAATTAACCTTTAAGTATAAAAACATAGCATACAGCATCAGAAAAGTTAAAGTGCTCTTACACAAATTAAAATCAAGTCAGTCAGCTCTAGGATAGTTCATAGTTTGGGGGACATTCTGTCTTTAATGGTGGAGAACAAGGGCTACGGAGTGCATTCAAGTGAGCACAGGAGTCATCAGGTTCCAAATAGAAACCAAATCTAAGTTGCACACCCAAGAGTGTCAATGGAACATTGAGCCCCGGGAAGTCAGAGTTAGGGGTGAGGAGAGACTAGGAGGAGCAGGGCAGGGACTCCAGGAAGGTCTGATTCTAGCCAGCCCATGCCACCTACTGATTCACCAGCCTGATGTCACACATCCCGCACCCTGGACTTTACCATCATGACCATTTATCTATTTATCCATCATCTATCTATCATCTGCCATCTATCTATTTCCCTATTATCTGTCGTCTTCTATTTATTATCAACCTATCATCTACCTATCATCTGTCATTTAGCATTTTCTATTTATCATGTCATTTACTTAACTGTTTATCTGTGTATTCTATCAACCTATTATCTATGTATCATCTATCATCTAATCATCTTCTACCCATCCCTATCATGATCTGTCTATCACCTATTTGCTATTATTTGCTGATCTCTGAAAGCCTCTCTCTTAGGTCCCTGGACTGCCAGCTCCTCTTCCTCCAGCTGTGCGAGTTAGACCTGTTTGCTGAGGACAGCTGGCTTGCTCTTTTCGCTGCTAGTCTAGGGACCCGCGAGGATCCCGGAGCTGTGCCACTCGGCAGACAGTGGTCCAAGGACAAAGTCCTCGCGGGTGGGACTGACGTGTCCCTGTCGCCCTGGTGGGGAAGGCGGTGGGGTGGCACAGCGGTTCACTCACCTTGCTGGCGGCAGGCACCGCGGCCAGGAGCAGCAGCCAGAGCGGCACCAGGAGCACCCTCAGCCCTGGCGAGGACGCGGGGCGCATGATGGGTGACCCCGGAGACCCGCGTGTGCAGGGGTGTTCGGGCCCCCGCGGCCCCCGCGCGGCTTGGACTGGGGACCCGGACTGTGAAGCTTGCCCTGCCGGCCCTCTGGGGTACGTTTTGTAGGGCTGCAGCGCGCGGTCTGTTCCTCCCCACCCAAGCTTTTGGTTGTGGCTCCAAGGGAGGGAAGCAGTGGCTCAGGTCCCGCCCTCGGCCCCTCTCCCTCCCAACTCGCCAGGCACTGTCCCTTCCACCGGGCATCGTGCCCAGGAAGTGAGAAAGAGCTGGGCGCCCGCGGAGCAGCAGGTGGGCGCGGGTCCAGGGTCAGGGCGAAGGAGGGGATGTTCCTGCAGTCCTGGCGTTTGGGCGTGTAGGGGGTGCGGGTGGCGGGGGAGGAATTTGGGGGTGTGCGGTCGGGAGGCGGCTGCGCAGGAGGTGGGGAGTGGCCAGCCGCCCTACCCACATTAAGCCTGCGGCTGCGGAGGGAGGCCGGGTTTGCTGCTGTGCATCTGCTCTTCCCCGCCTGCCTCTGGCCTTCAACTTGCAGCTGCCACACCTACTCGGTGCTGAGCGCGCACGGAAGAGGAACCTGGTCCCGGGTGGATTTCCACCAGGCACAGCCGAGAAGTGCGCGTCCGGTCGGCGGGCTAGCCTGCGGTTCCTGTCCTGCAGGCGTTCAGATAGGTAAGGCGCTGGCAGGCGGGCGATCGCCGCTCCAGGGCCAAGGCACCTGCCTGGGAGAGGAGGGCAGCCCAAGTGGCTCTGGCGTCTAAGGGGTGGCGGCTGGGGAGTTGTGGCCTTGGGGTCAGGAGAGGAGAGCTTGCCCGGCTCCCAGGCTTCTCTGCCAAGGGCTTGAACTGAGCGCTGTGTGTTTTGATTAATTTGGAAGCTCGAGTTACCGGCCTGGCAGCCCGGGCATCCCAAAATGCCAAAAGCAAGAGGCAGCTGAGGGGAAAAAGAAAGCTCATCCTATTCTGAGTTGAAGTGCTTTTCAGGCTAAACCTTATCTGCGGAAACGGAGGGGGAAACGAGAGCCAGCTCTGGTCCAGAGTGTCCCCATCCGAGAAGGCTCTTCCCACAGCAGGCCTCGGATGCAAATGCCACCTCTGGCTTGATAGGACACCTTCTTGGAGCAGGGCTCCTACGATTTCTCGTGCCACAGGGTACAGCGGATGGGGTGGATTTAGCTTCTCAGAACAATGTAAAATGCCTAAGATATAAAAAGTCGGAATCAGTTTTCCCCCAGTTCAAAAGGTGTGACATAGTCACCTACTTTCGATATCATTACTGAATGACATTTCTAGATCTACAACACATCCATTTAACAACTGTAATATCTACACAGTAGTGACTGAGAACAATGTTTTGAGAACACTGGACAAATGACAGGAACACACCAGTGGGCACAAACTCAAGAGCTGCCCACACAACCAAGGCCCGTTGCTAAGTACTCATCAGTGAAGTACCTACTTTTGAGAAGGACCAGTGATGAACCTTCAGATGGCACCTTCAAATTCACCAGCCATCTGAATCTCATCCCCTGTTTAAGAGTCCCTTGCTTTGGAACAGTGTTGTTGACTTCCACAGTGGCTGGTTATCAAACACCAAGTCTGAACTGCATGGTTGATCTCTGATTGTAGCGATGCTTCTCCTGGTGAAGGCTTGATGTTATCGTTGATCTCTGCAGTTGTGTAGGTAGGCAAAACTATAATAGAATGGAAACACTCCCCATATATATGTGGCTGTGCATTAGAATCTCTTGAGATGCATCTAGACATCTTAATACTCAGTACATTTCAAACCAATTATATCAGACTCTCCAGAGGACTTTAATGCTGCATTGCAAAGACCCCTATAGATAACTTTGTGCAAACATGCTTGGCAGTCATACACATGTGTTTTACATACATTTTTTTGGTTAGCTGCACCGAATTAGGGTTCCATCTTAGTAGAATAATAAAAAAAAGATATACATTAAACTTTTTATAACAATTTAGGGACATTGTGGAGTTTGTGCCCAGACCGTAAATGTTGTGGTTTGGTACCTAGTGACATTACAAAAATTCTTAGGGTGCCTTCTGCCCTCTGTGTGGGATAGGACAGCACAACCTCTGCTGATAAAATAATGCCCAGGAGTTCTAAGAGGCATGTGATAATCTTTTACAAGTTGATACTGCTTCCTGAAAAGCAAAAACCTGTCCTAATAGCAAGTGTTTCTTTGCTGATCTTTGCTGAATTCCAGAAGCTTTCTCAATTTGTATTTTTAAAAAATAAGCCCTGTAGTTTTAAAATCTCTTTCTGTGTCTACTGTGCACATGTGTGTGTGTGTGTGCGCGCGCGCGCACACACACACACACCTATTAAAGTATGGATGTGAATGCGCATGTACCACAGTGTATGTGTGTTGGTCAAATCATGACCCAGGTGCTGGTCTTCACCTTCCACATCATTTGAGCCGAGGTCTCTGGTCTGTGAGCTTCCAGGGATTCTGTCCCCTGCCTCCTTGCTGTGGAAGTGCTGAGATCAAAGGCATGGGTGGGGGAGGGGATCTGGATGTGAGTGGGAAATACTGTATGTAATTTTAAAAGCTCAGTAAAAAGAAAATCATAAAAAAAGACACACACTGCCATGCCTGGCTTTACATGCATTCCGGTAATGTAAACTCAGGTCCTCACACTTATGTAGCAAATGTTTTACCCACTAAGCCATGTCCCCAACCCAGAAGCACTGGAGTTTTGACATAAGAACAGAATTAGCTTTATCAGCTTTGAAGTGGCATAGAGCAATGAACTGCATCATTTCTGATGCAGCAACAGAAGGAAAATGATGTACTATAATACAGGAAGGTGGAAGCAGACAGTTACCAACTTGGTCTCTAGACTATGCCCTGGATTTTGAATTCTTTTTCTACTACGAGTATGGCTTAACCTCCCTGGGGTGAAATCTTTCCTTCTGTAATATCAGGAAAGTCACAGTACCAGCCTCAGGGAGTTGTAGGAATCCGATAATCCACCAGAAGCCTTTTGTCCAGGGTCCTATAACAACAGCAAGCTACACTCTGACTCAATTTCATAAGGGGAAATAGGTGGACATGGTGAGAAACAGTGGCAGCAGGCAGAGATGCTCTTCTGAGCCCAATGCTAAGGGGCAAGACTCAAGCACAGCCGCACGCTAACTCCAGTCAGTGCACTTTCAAGGCATCAAGAGCCTCGTTCAAAACATGAATCTCAACAGCCATCCAGACTCAGGAATCACAGTCTAATCGTTCATGATCTCCAGCTGATGCACGCACGTGAGACTGAGTGGCTAGCCTGAAAGCCACATCCCAGCCTGTGTTTCCCACCTCCCCACCATACTCTCCCCACTTTGCTATATTACTGCCTGTGCTCACCTATGGTCCTAGAACTCTTGACTTAAAAAAAAATGAAATCCAAGAACTAGTTTTTCATAGTTGACTCTTTTTTAAAAAAAATTTTATTTATTATTATTTATTTTATGTGTGAGTGTGTTGCCTGCATGTAAGTGAGTGCACCTGTGTCATGCAATGACGCAGAGGTCAGAAGAGGGCTTCGGATTCCCCTGGAACTGGAGTTGAGGGCCCCTAGTCACCATGTGGGTGCTGGGAATCAAACCCGGGTCCTCTGCAAGAGCAGTCAGTGCTCTTAACCACTGGGCCATCTCTCCAGCCCCCATAATTGACTCCTTAAATGTGAAAAAAAAGGAAAGAGAGGGGTTTTTTTTTGTTTTTTTTTTTTTTTACAAAGGACAAAGAAATCTGTATTTTTAAATTTGACAAACTATATAATTATTTTACTCGCCTTTAAAATATTCAGTGTGTCTCTTTTCTGTTTTTACTTCCCTCCCTCCATCGATCTCTTTTCCACTTTCCTGTTGTCTGTTTCTTTCTTTTTTGACAGTCTTGCTATTGCAGCTCAGGCTGACTTTAATGTCATGATCCTCCTGCCTCTGCCTTCCTAGTGCTGGAGTTACAGGTATTTGTCACCTGGTGATGACATCTGCTTTCTGCTCGGTGGTTCTGTGTATGTATTCAGGATACCCGTGTGGTGTATGTGCATATGTGTGTGCAGGTGCATATGTCTATGCGCAGAGGCCAGAGGATTGTCGGCATCTGCTTTGTTAGCCTGCCTTGTTCCCTTGAGGCCGGGTCTCTCACTGAACGTGGAGCTCGGCTGGAGGCCGGTAAGCCCCAGCAATTCTTCTCTTTCCAACCTCCACAGTGCTAGCGTTGCAGGTGTGTGTGGTCACGCCTAGCTTTTTATGTGGATGCTGGGGATTGGAAATCAGGTCCTTTTGCTTGTACAGCTGAACCATCTCCCTGGCCCTGATATCTAAATATGTGTGCCTGCTTCCCTGAATTTCAATGTAAGCCCAGTAGTGAAGAAAGCTGGGCTTGGTCTTGTCCCTCCCCAACTTTTGTGAATGAATGAACAGCTTGTGCAAGTTCACCCAGCATTTACCTTTAGGTCTCTTCTTGCAAAGTTGATCTCCCTGCAGCCTCCACTGCATAGAGAGATGCTTCTGATTTTGGTGTGATGCATAAAGTTAGACTATCCATGGATCCTGCTTTGATTTTTTTTTTTTTTAATTTTGGCCCTCTCGGTCCCTTTTTTTTTTTTCCAGAACTTTTTTTT